GAAGCAATTGTGGAGTTTTTTTCAGGCCAGAAAGTGGAATGTTCTTCATTGGCCAAGACAGTCACTCAATCTGAACCTCAATCTACATGTACTTACTGAAGACAAGACTGATAAAAATCTCTCAAAATAACCTGAAGTGACTGCATGAAATGGCTGTATTAAGGCCCTGGCAGAGCATTACCAGGGAAGAGAGACAGCGTCTGTTGAGATTTGTGGGCCCCTAACCTGGAGCAGTCATCAGTTGCAACAAATGTGCAACCACACTGTAAAAAATGGCTCGTCTGATCAACCTAAAAAATAACTTTATGTGGTAACAAGTAAATTAACTAGTTTTATTCAACCTAAATAAATACTTTCAATAAATGGATTTTTTTTTCAGTTGAATAAAACGATTTCAGTTGCTTTGTTACCACACGAAGTAATTTTTTTAGGTTGATCTAAAAAAATTAGAAGAACTAAGTAAGGCTGGGACCACTTATGAATTCAGTGTTATGGCTTATGGCCTCCCCTTTCTGCGTTTACTTGTTTCTCTTTTAAACTGAGTGTGAGACCGAAAAAATGGAAGACAAAAGTTCTTTATTAACGTTGTGTATTTTTTCTTTTTGTAAGAAAAAGTTTTTGTACTTTTTTATAAGCATTCCTGTGGAGTTACTTGTTTCACTTGTTTTAAGAATTGACTCTTAGTGGCTGCTTGAATCCTATTCGTAGAAGTAGCTGCTACGACTCATGTTTTCTTCTCGCTCCAGTAACTGAGGTATTTGGATGATGTTTTCACAAATGAGTTAGCATAGTTGAGGTATTAGCACAGATTTATTATTCTTACGCTTGTGTCTGCACACGGACATCATTCGGTCTTCCACTCCCTGCTCGTCATTTTGGTTTCCCAGTCACAAACAGAAGATGAAGTTCATCGCTTTGCTAAGCCAACCCAAGTAGATAAAACTGAAGTTAGCTTCTTATACAAATTTTCCTCAGGCACCAGAGTGCAATTGCTGCACCATTTAAGGTGGAGTGGAAAATTTAGATAAGAAGCTTACAAATAAGAAGCTGACTTCAATTTTGTCCAAAGTGGACTAACTAAACCAGTTTTTTCCAGTTCTAAAAACTGCACAACAAAGTTTTTTTTAACTGTGTTAAATAGAAACTGTTCCTGGTGTCATTTTATTTAGCATTATATTCAACAGTGTTTGATACACAGTGCATATCGTCTTGTGACCACATATTAAAAAAAATTATATTAGCATCCATTTTGCATTCATGTTTCAAATGCACTTCAAGTTGGTATGAAAAGTGTTCTATAAATAAAAGCTATTATTAAAAGATATTTCTACATGAACAGCTTGTTTAGAAACGGGCTGAGACTGATCTCCTTAAGGGGTATCAGTCTGATTGTTTGGTGTGTACCAGTGTTTGCACTGAACTGTACTATCAGAGCAACTGCACCAAGGGTTTTTTTAACTGAACCAAACCTGCCAAGTCTAAGCGCTCCCTAAGAGCTCTTAATTCATTTGCATAGTCTTTCTCTTCAGAATTGTGGCTGTTCCTGTTTGGTCTAATCTGATTTTGAATAGTAATTTAGGGCTACACAGTTTCACACAAATACAAATCTGACACTTTAATTATTATTTCTAGTGGCAACAAAGGTAGAACCTTAGCAGTATTTTTTAACGCAATACATTTTCACATTTTGACCCTTCGATATCTCTGTAGTTCCACACCGAAGCCCAGATGCTTGAGCACTGTTGCTATGACTTCACCACTGTAGTCTCATTCAAGTAAAGCTTTTAAATGGCTGAAAAGTTCCACTGATGGGTCTCTTGATAAAATTAAGTTATTTTCAGCTGCTGCCATGCCATGAATTTGTTTATCACTGGGGTACATCTAGTCCGAAGTATCACTGACAAGCAAAACATACCGCTGATGCAGGTAATATCAGTGATATTGGTAACATCAACAAAATGGACTGCTTTTTAAATGAAAGGATCTTCAGCATTGTGAGGAAATGTAATTTCTAATTTAATTAAAAATGTATTTATAAAATTAGTTATGATTAGCTGTGTTTTGTTTTTGTTTTTTTCTTCAAAAGAACACCTGCAGTAAAGGCAACATGAATTTCTGGAATTGTTTGCATGCTTACATGCATGGTTGACTAAGAATGCTTGATCATAATGCAGTGAATGTAGTCCATTACCTGTAGCCTTTCATAGTTAGCCAACTCTAGAGAACAAAATCTTTATCAGCAAAGGTTTAATTCTGTGAAGTCAAGTGGTTGTACCCTCTTAAGTTCAGCTCGTCCTTGGAGATATAAACCGTGCATGTAGTTTCGCATTCAGATTTTTGTTGTCCTACAACAGCCATTACTTTGAATGCCATTTGGGTTACCTGTAAGTGTCTGTATTGTCTGTATTCAGAATACTGCTTTGTGTAAAAAAAACATGATATTGTCTGTTTTCCCAAACAGTCTATATTCAATAATTCAGAGAGTGACAGATATGAGGAATAGTTAGAGGGTAAATACACATGTTGCATGTTCTTTTTCTATTTTGGTCCAATATGTTGAATTCAGCAAATAAACAGTAATTGTGCATTAAAATGTGCAGAAGTTTGTTCTCTATAGAGGATGTGTTAATACACTTTCACTCAGCAAATCAACAAAACGTGTGATTTGACCAGAGGTTCCCGAACAGTTACCTACAACTGTAGATGGAGGGTTTTGTGGGTGAAAAACTCTTCCTCTTTGATAGTGTGTAAAAGAGCTGAGAATTTGGTGGGGAATTCACTTCCTGTGTGAAACGATAAATCTGCTCCAGCTGGTGGAGCATGAGAGAGGTTATGCGAAGATTCTCAGGGAAGGAACTAAGGATCTGGGAGGTGATGTTAAGCCCCTTCACAGCCAAGCCAAACTGGAATATTGGTCACGTCACCAGTAACCTATCTGGAGGTCTGGTGGTTTGGCTTTTCCATGCTGTCAACACAACAGCCTTTCTCTTTTTCAAATGCTGTGCTGAACTTTTCTTCTACTGACATGCTTAATGGCTGTTTATACTGACCCAAATAAGAAAAGCTCCACCTCATTCATGGCAGCGGGAAAATGAAATGTCTTTTATGTGTAAAAGACTCCTCAATCACTGTCTCATTTGATAGGAGCTGATTTGTATAAGGAAACACACCTCTGTTTTTCATGCATCATTAAAGAGGACCTATTATGCTTTTCTATTTATTTTCCTTTCCTTTAGTGTGCTTTATAGCTTTTTATGCATGTGAACAAACTGCGAAGTTACAAAGCTAAAAGTACATGAGTAATCATTCCCACAGAAACCACTTTGCTCAGCTGCCTGAATCGCCTCGTTGGAATCCGTTTTTAGATGTTGGACGTTTTTCTTTGTTACAAGATGACGCAGTGTCATAACACAATCCTTATTGCTCACCTAGCGGTAAGCTTGACGCATTCTCACGCAACGCACAGCGACTTCAGGAGGCTAGGAAGAGTTTGTTCTGACTTTCAGGATTGGTTTAAATTGGTACGACAGAACTGACACCATTGTAGGAATAGCCACAGCTGTGTTTACAGCTGTGTTTACTGCAAGACAGGGGCAGAACTTGTAGGGGTGGAACTTAGGTCCTCTTTAAGGTGAACTGCAAACAACTACTCAAACAACAATTTAGTTCTCTTTCATTTTAGCTTTCAGTACTCTGTTCTTCATTTTCAGTAGGTGAACACTATACTATCTCCGTTTTTCTTTCATTTTCCTTTTAATTTTACTGTATCATTTGAACAGAGAAGGTTTTTTTTTTACCTGATGTCGGAATTTTATGATGAATAGACCAATAGAAATGTTCCAAAATTGCTAGGAAAAAATCTCATTACATTGACTTACATTAAAAGCCAAAAACATTTTTGCCTTCTCCTATACAATTACCATTTTGGGGATATTTTAATTTTATTTTCATTCTAGTTTTTTGGGCAATATGTAGAAGTTACATTTCTGCTATTTCAGTGGCCTTAGCGCTGGGTGAGTTGTGTTAAAAAGAGTACCTGAGGCTTCACTATTGGCTAAAAGCACAGGGGCTCTGATGGAGACCTGCTTTGTTCTGAGAGGAATGTGTTTATAGGCAGTTTCTTCCTGCAGAGCATGTATTACACCCATTTTTGACCTCTGGGTGAAGAGATCAGCAGCCACTGAGTGACTGAACATACATTCATGTCAGATCTCAAGGAATTTTCCAGATTTTTCAGATGCCTGTGAAGCTTTGTTCAACTAATGCTGTCCTTTCAGCTGATTAACTCAACTATCTAGCGAAGCATTCAGAAACAAATCACTTTAACCACTTAGTTTAGTAGGGACTGTGCCACATATAAAATGTGCTTGTTTTGTGTGCATGCACTAGACGTGTCACGATCATGAAATTTTAGCTGATGATTTAAGTGCCATATAAATAATTGTGATTAACAGTTGTCTTTGTATGCAACTATTAAAGTGGACAGATTAGCTTATTAGCTATCTGTCTTCCTAGTTGTCAATACGTAGTAGCTACCAAACGATGACAGACACAGCTCAAGCATAACTAAACCAACATTTCTCACTGCTGCTCTTCGAAGATGTTGCAGCAAACCAAAAGTGAGGACTTCTGTTGTTTTTTTCAAGCCATTTTGTCTCAATAAACATTATTATATTCATACATTTCTCTCTTTCTCTCCCCCCTCCCTCCCTCCCCCCCTCCCCCCCTCCCTCCCCCCCTCCCTCCCTCCCTCTCCCTCTCTCTCCCTCCCTCCCTCTCCCTCTCTCTCCCTCCCTCTCTCTCTCTCTCTCTCCCTCTCTCCCTCCCTCTCTCTCTCTCTCTCCCTCTCTCCCTCCCTCTCTCTCTCTCTCTCTCTCTCTCTCCCTCTCTCCCTCCCTCTCTCTCTCTCTCTCTCTCTCTCTCTCTCTCTCTCTCTCCCTCCCCTCTCTCTCCTCTCTCTCTCTCTCTCTCTCTCTCTCTCTCTCTCTCTCTCTCTGTAGGATAACTAAGCCCCTGACCTTTGCGGACTGTGTGGGTGACGAGCTTCCTCTGGGATGGGAAGTTGTGTATGACCAGCAGGTGGGGGTCTACTACATCGACCACATCAACAGTAAGTTCAGCTTCTGAACTCGTCCTTTCACCTGCGCCAAATTACACTCATAATGCGTCCTCAGGTCTCTTAATTACTTTACTTTTTTTGCATTTGAATAGAGCCGTTAAGGACCTCTTGTGATTCTTGTCAGTAGGCCTGCACAATTAATCATATTTTAATCATGATCATGATTTGTAATTCCGTCAGCTAATTAAACTGAATTGACTGTGATATTGGTACGTGTAGCTAAAGTTTGTGTCCATTTTAATTGATTGTAATGGATGTGATTTCTTTTTTGCTAAAACTTGTGAGCATAATTTAACTGCCCTAGTAAATTCTGTTTGACCTGTATTAAATTTAAAGCGAAACACTATTTTATTTTTTGCTATATTAACAAGGTTAATGGTTCAAGGTCATGGCCGTTTGGTTGTGGTTTTCTGCCTGTTCCTTAACAACGATCTCTCTGGATTTTCTGGATCTTTCAATGGTATTTTGCACCATATATGGTAAAATATCCTTCCAATCCCTGGCTAAGGAACGTTTTTAAACTGTTGGATTTTTTATTGATGTATTTCTGATGTGGTGAGCCTTGATTGATGCTTGTTCATAAAGGGCTTGGCCTTTCCTGGATGCTCCACATTTCACAACGTTGCTAGTCTTAAATTGCCCCATCCCAAATTTTTTGAACGTGTTACTGGCGTCAGTTTCAGAATGAGTGTATGTTTACAAAAAACAATGAAGTGGATAAGATAAAACATTATATATCTTGTCTACCACTTTTTTTTTTTCCAAAGACAGGTCAGAGTAGGTTTTATGAATCATTGCTTTCTGCGTTAATTTGTATTTTATCTGTTCTCCCAACCTTTTTGGAATTGTGTTTGAATGTAACTGCTGCATCGAGGTGCAACGGGAAAATCAAATAAATGGCCAATTCAGCATCAAAGTCATTTGTTTCTTTCCTGTGTCCCATACACAGCACTGATTGTCAGACACCGCTTGAATTTGGTAAATGCTCCATTCACACTTCAGTACCAGCTGGTCCATGGCTTGGTGCCCCATCAGGCGCCGTCTGATGCAGCTGACCGACGAATTGTATTGAAGCCAGTATACAGGCCACTACTAGTGATATGTGTTTATATTGAGTCTAATATTGTTTATGCTGAAAATTTGTTTATATTGGACCTTTGGTTCAGAGATTTATACATTTGTAGCAGTATAAGCGTATAAAGTATGTTGTAAAAGAAAAGGCTGTTTACACTTTAGTTTGGAACTATTTCGTTCCAAATTGGCTAAATAATTTTAGTCATTAGCTTGCTCTCAGGTGACTAATTTGCCAGGGCTCAGGCAATATGGGGGAGAGAAAGCATGCTTCAAATACAAGTCTTTTTCTTCTAGCAAATCAAAGAGTTGCAGAGATGTGAGGGTGCAGGGTTGATTGTGTTTTGCCTTCCACTGAAGTCCACAGAAGAGAACTGATACAATGTATTCAGATAGGACTGCTGAACTTGTGAATACTGGGCTTTTCAAGCATGGTGAGACTGGTGCTGTTCTCCCCTTAGAAACTACCCAGATAGAGAACCCACGGACACAATGGCGGCAGGAGCAGGAGCGTATGCTGAAGGAGTATCTGGTGGTGGCGCAGGAGGCTCTCAATGCCAAGAAGGAGATGTACCTGATCAAGCAGCAGAGGCTGGAGCTTGCCCAGCAGGAGATGCAGCTTTTCAACCAGCTCAACCAAGACGATAACCGCTCCATCACCAGCTGTGAGGACACACACACTCATAGACATTCACACACTAGCACAGTGAGTGACGGGCACATTTACGCTACTGTTCAAAAGTTTGGAATCACTTGTCATAATAATAATTGCTGTTATTTTATCCAGTAATAACTTGTACAGTGTAAACTGAAAGTTTTTCAGGAGCATCAAGAAGTTATGAAATGCTAAATAATATAAATAAATATGTTCTATTTATAGTATTTTTTAGTTATCTACCTCAAGAATTGATTCCCACTTTTCAAATAAATTGGATTTCAAATGTTAAATCTACTGTAACGGCGGCCTAGTGGTAGCAGACATGAGCCAAAACTGCCAAAGAGTTGCAGGTTTGAATCCCGGGACTAAGTGGGTGTGCTTGGTTGTGCCCTTGGGCAAGACACCTAACCCTCCACTGCTCCAGGCAGCGCTGCTCTGTTGGCGATATTCATGTGGTTGCAGATAAATCTACAGAATGATTCTAATATGCTCATCTTGTGTGACTTCAGAGGTTTCAGAGCTAGAAAGCTTCAGAAAAATGAAAATTGTTGATATCTAGAATAATGGACAGAACTGTGGATTGTTCCATAATGTCAGAGAAAGCTGTATAGCATCTTAATTGAAGTTATAGTAAAATCGATATCTAGAATGCTGCATATTTCAAAATTACAAATCAGATAACTGGATAAAAATAGTTGTAAATAGGTGTGTAGTGTATTTTTTTTATTTAATGGTGTTGCATAAAAAATATATATGTAAGATTAACTATAAATAATAATTATATATTATGTATTTTTTATAATTATATATGTATTTTTTTTATATATATATATATATATATATATATATATATATATATAAATGGGTATATATATGTGTGTGTGTGTATATGACTAGGTGATTCCAAACCTTTGATTGATGGTGTTTAAACACACACACACACACAGGCGCAGTGCTATTGTGAGTTGTTTGAATTAGGAGCAGCTTTTAACCCCGTCCCTTTCCTCACCTCTGTTTCCCTGACCTCCACCCTTCCTCTCTTTCCTTCTCCCTCCTCTTCACTGGACTCTCTCTCTCCGAATGACCCCTCCTTTTTCCTCTTCCCTCCTCCTTTTCCGCTTGCCCTCGTTCTCTTTTTTCATTCACCAGTTCTTGTCTCACATCCCTTCTTTTCCCTTACTGAATAATCCTGCTTACATTATGTACAGTATGACAAAGCTTTTTAATACACACGTATCAAATATTTATATTTGCCATCACTGCCTCTTTTTTTACTTGAGTACTTGTGCCATCCTAATTTTAAACCCATGCTAGATCAGCGTTGTAGATGCCTTTCATAAACCTGTATCTGTATTAAAGCAGAACAAATAACTTTGATACACTCAGACATCCAGAGTCAAACCAGTGATTTTTCTCCCCTTTGAAAAAAGACAAAAACATGGTAATTTACTTAAAATAATTATTGGTCTTATATTTATATACTTTACATGGCAGTAAGAATCATTTTGAACCTATTCTTGGCTGAAGTACATGTGTTTATGATTTCTAGACCACATTTTTGTTTATTGTATTAGTATTGGTGAGTATATTTAATATTCCACACGTTTTATCCATTATCTGATTTATGTTAACAAACTTTTTTTTTTGTTCTGGTGAAGAATGATGGAAGAATATGACTTTTTCCTTTTTTTTTTCTTTCTTTTTTTTATCCTTCTTCCATAGGAAATTGAGGAGGATCACAGAACAACTCATAAGCAAAATTTATTCGAAAATTCTTATCATGCTTTCACAGCATCAGTTATTTTGGTGTTGTTTTTTGAATAAATATATTAATAGGATCGTCCTAATCATGTGCTGCTTTATTCATTTTTTTTTTTTGTTTGTTGCTATCAAGGATGCCAGTAATTCTGGAAATTGATTTTGTCCTCGATTACCATGGACAAAAATGTCATTTGAAGAGCATGACAAAAGTGCATAGTGGAATGCCAAGCGAGTTGAAGAGAAAGCATGAAGGGAGAAAGTGAGGGATAGATAGAGGAGATGAAAGGCCGCTCACTAACACTCCTCAACCGTGGCGACACTGTATCCCCCACTTTTTCCTCTGTTCTCTTCAGGCCTGAGACCACTGGAGCAGAGTGGAGTTGGGTTTCATTGCCTGCATTCTTTCATTCATGTTCTCTTCCTCTCTCTCCCCATCTCTCTTTCTCTCTCTCCCTGTCTCTCTCTTGCAGCTCACTCTGGCTCTTCTTCAAATGCAAAATATGACCCTGACCAAATCAAAGCGGAAATCGCCTGTAGGCGTGAGCGGGTAAGTCATTATCCTCTGAGAACAATGCCTTGGACGTCATGCCTAGGAGGGGCCTGTTTGGGGAGACGTTGGGGCCCCTGATGTGTGCGCTGTGTGCATGTCAGGGGCACCTTTAGGAATGCGATGAGGCTTGGTTAGGGTTAGCAGACTCAGCAGGACATGCTGTGCGCTGTGCTGTGGTGTAGAGAGAGATTGAGATTGCTGCTTTCATATTGTCGCCATCATATCACTTCCCCATAACTCAACTTCTTTCAGTTGGTTTTTTTTTGGTCCTAAATTTCTTGGACTAAAATCTTGTTAAATTAACATAATATTAAATTTAAGAACTGTCCTTTGCGTGGATATGAGGTTTTGTTACGACAGCAGTTAAGATGAGTTAATTTCAGTGCATATTACTCACATTATGAGAGAAACATGTTACACAATCAATATCAAAGAGTTACAGTAGCTGTTTCACTTGGAAATTTTCCTACTTTGATCTGTGCTTTATTAAATTGAGTTGCTCTCAGGAAAATGAGCTGAAGCTGAAGTGGCGTGGTGGTATTGGAATGTGTTTTACAGGGTGGTGTGTGTGGGCAGGACCTTTTCCTGTTCCTGTGTGTGTGTGTGTGTGTGGATTGGGGGTGTTGGTGTGAGACCTTGCTGTTCACTGATGACTCAGCTGTTTTTGTTTTTTTCTTTTTTCATGAGTAGACTTCATTGAGGAAGGCCTACTTCACATATTCTCACTGGCGTGACAAAACCTCATATTTCCAAAATGACAACTTTAGAAAAGACAACAGAAAAAAAATTTCTTAACCTTCAGTGGACAGTGATGATATAAATATTGTGATACATGATATGTCACAATATTTATTTTTTCAGACTTCTGATCGCTTGTAACAGAGAAAAAAAGAAACCAGTAATGCTACATTTTTTTTTTAAAAATACTAAAAAAAAACTATGAACACAAGAATTTGTATTCAATATTTGCCATAATGTGTTGCATTAAATCCACTTACACAGGACTAATTTTGCTCTGTTTATAATGAAACATGCAGTTGGTCAGTGCAAATACTGACGATATCCATAATATTTTCAGAAAAGCACATTGTACTGTGTTGTGACACAATTTATCACAGTAATGATATATATTGTCAATATATAAGTCAAGGGAAAACCAAAACAAGCCCTGGTAGACCACCAAAACTGTCACCATCAGATAAACAGTACTTTCACCGCTTTCATATTTGAGAGAGAGGGGAATATCAAGCTCCACACATCTGAAAAAATCCACAGGAGTTTCTGTCCATCCTTCCACTGCAAGAAGACAGCTCAACACTATGAGTCTGAAAGGATGTGTAGCTGTCAAGAAGCTGTTACTGAGAAAAGAAAATAGATAAAAAAGAAGTAAACTGGCAAATCAAATTGGCAAAACAAAGCAGCTGCTGATATTCTCAGAGCAGTCCAGACCTCAGTATCGTTGAATGTGTTTGAGATTACTTGGATCGTGAGAAGCAGAAATGAAACCAATCTCCAAGGCTGAATTTTGGAGGTGTGGAAAAATACCCTTGCAGATTTCTTTGAAAAACTGAAATTAAGTCTCCTGGAAAGACTGGAAGCTGTAATAATGGCAAAGAGTGAACACAAAAAAAAACACTAAAATCAGAATGTATACAAATAAATAAACAGTTAATTGAGATTTGATTGTCAGTGTGTTCTCTCAACCATTTCCAGAGCACTGAGTAAGCACAGTACTTCTGGTGACCATTCAGCACCTAATTTAGCTGATCAGTCCATCATTAAATTAAATCTATTGAATGTGGAATTGAATCCTAATTTAAGTCAAAAGCCAAACTTGTGGTGTTCTAACTGTATTTTAACCATCAAATAAAATCTTTTAAAAATAATAAACCTGTTACATTTTGCTGTATTTGTTTATTTGTATTTATTCTGATGTTATGTTGTTATTCTGAGCGTTTGCTAGCTGCAACACAGCTGAGATAGGCTGCCTAAGACTTTTGCACAATGCTGTTTTTGAAAAGTTTCTTTCCAAAATGCTGTCTATCCATTTCTACCAAGAACAGATTTGACAAGAATCACAGCTGACATTTAATGCACTTTGTCAAAACATGTTATTATTTGAGTAATAAAGATGGTATTAATCATAACATTGCATTGATATTACTTGTATGTCTAAAGCCCTACTCCCAACAATATAGATCATGGAAAAAAAAATAATGAAGGTGGCATTCAAAGGAGAATTTGGCCGATGCTTCAAAATTCTTGCATAATTAAGCATTTAAGATGTAAGAAAAGTCATTCAGAATGGTTTGATATGCTCCATTATAGAGAGCCTTACAGAAAGTTATTGCATAAATGGTTGAGTACTCTGCCTGATACCTGAAACATTGTTATGGGAATATTTTGGTCCAAAATGTAGAGCATTGTAAGGCAAAATAGTCCCTAAAGAAAGCATTTTGTCCCAGATATACCTCTATTTTACCATCTCAACATAACATTGAAAACCATGGTGGTTTTGGATAGTAAATAAAATGGCTGCATTTGCATTTGTGCAGTGGTGGTTCCCATCACCACCACTGTAAAGAAACCATTTCACATCAAAACCTTCTGAATAACTTTGCATCTTAACAATTGAATTGTGCAGAGATTTTGATGTCTCTGAAATTCCTCCTTGCATTTTGGAAAGAAGCCCTTCATATATAATACATATAGTAAAATTGTATTATCCCACACACCGAATTTATGTGAAAGCAAACCTGTGTGTGAGTTGTAATGTCAATCTCTCTTGTGTTCACAGCTCTGTAGACTCAAACAGGAGCTGGCCCAGATGAGGCAGGAGCTGCAGTACAAGGAAATGGGAGTAGAGACCCTACAAGAGTGAGTTTTATACAGAACTCAAAACAAGTCCTGTGTTAAATTTATCTTTCCTCCATGCTTTTGTTTGGAGACTCAATCTGTTCCTTCCATTTTTCTGTTTCCATGAGTTTTTAGTCTCCAGTTTGTATCAGGTTTCCTCTGTTGTGAGCATGTCTGTATCTGTGTTTTGTGATGTGCGAGTCTACAGTGTCTCTTGCAAGTTTGTACGTTGACCTTGGCAAGATTTAAGGCTTTCGTTATCAGTCTGTGCAGTCCTGGACTGTGATAACAAATCTCCACAAAGGAGCATCCCCCACTCTGAGCATTTAAAGCAGTGGTTCAATGAAGAATTGAGTAGTTCATCAGCCAAGACTTACTTTGTTGTACAATACTGGGTTCTTGTTCTGTTTTGCACTAGAGCTACAAAGATGATATAGCCCACAAGTAATGTAAGCTTCTAGCCTTCATGTTAGCATTGTGCAAACTCTGTGCCTGTCAAACCATGTTGAGTGTTGCAGTAATTTCCAGTAGACCTGCTTATGTAGTTTCTGACACTGTATGATGTACTGTTATCCATCATAAGTATGTTGTATAGCTAGAAACTGTGGTAGCTTGAAGGCTATATTTTGTCCACTTTTTGTCCATTGTTGTAGACAAAGGCTGCTCTGATTGCTGTACACATACTGCTGTTGTCCATCCCAGTCAAAAGGCTAAAACATGTTGATTTTCTCCTCTAATGACTGCTGACCTTTTCATCCCAGGCTATCATTTCTCTTATACACAGCACAAACGCCATATATGTTCCATATGGAAAACACTGAACATATCCCATCATTCAGTGTGGCTAAATGTGGCACTGTTTATGTAGCAGTCCCCGAGTGCTGTGTGATTATGGCACTAACAGTCATAGACCACGACTAGTCCAAACAGGCCCCTTTTCCCCTCACGCTCTCGCTACATACAATGTGATTCAGACCAGTTTCAAATAATGCAGCTCACCAGAGCAGTTCAAATTTATTTAATGATGTAATTGTAAGTATTATTCAGTTCAGTGAAGCAGCAAACCAAACATTTACTGCGTAGTAGAGGACTCTCTTAAAATAGCTGCAGTGGAAAAGGCCCACTTAAAAATTCCTGGGGGTTTTTGTTGTTTGTTTTGTGTCCCCCCTTTTGTGAATGGTCTTCACATGAAGCTGTAGTGGAACAGCATTTAGATGCTATGTTTTGGATGAACACCAGCAGGTGGTAGTTGTTTTTTTTTTCCTTGTAGTCTTGAATGTGTGTGTTTTTTGAGGAAGGGGATATTTGAGGAGACACACACCTCTGTGTCTGTGTGTGTTCGAGAGAGAGAGAAGTTGTGTTCTGGAAAAGGAGACTCCACCTCAGGAAGAGGATGCACCAGTGGAGTGCAGAGAGCCAAGGCAGGAAAGAGAGAGAGAGAGAAGGGGAGGGAGGGTGGAGGGACAAAAAGTGCTTGAAAGCAGTTTGAAAAACACAGAGATATCTGGCAGCAAATTCCTTGCTTCTTCCTGCGTCCCAGTGAGAGCGCTTATCTCTTAGATAGAACACAACTCGAGTGGCTCCCAGAATAGCAGCTCAGCTCTCAGAGCTTCAGGAAGATAGAAGATGGAGGCGCCCTGCCTGGTTTCTTTCTCTGTCTTTCTCTCTCTGATTCAGATTTGACCTGAATTGTTAACAACTAATGAAAAAGCAATGAAACCACTAACAGTGACTATGTAAACGGGCAAAAATGTGTAAAGAGATGTGTACACTCAAGCATGTTTTTATCTGTTTCTGTCATTTATCTACATATCGTTGCTCTCCAAAGGAAATCTCCAAATTGTCTCTCCAAAATGGCACCTTTATGAAAAAAGTAGGGTTTTTTTTTTGGACAGTGACAATAAATTAGCAATGTACTGAATGTTTATGGCTTTTTCATGGGATTCTGAACTCTCTACAGCCAAATTGGCCCATGGCCTTATTTGTTCATTCATTCATTCTTTCATTCGTTCATTCATATATTAATTTATTATATCCGTAGCTCACACGGTGTGAACACCAGGAACACATTAGTACCAATACATTTTATTAGGCAAGGTTATAACATAACATTTATTAGCTCTGAAATGCCAAACCTGAGTTTCAGTTGCCTATTTAAATAATTTGAAATCAAATAGAATGCTCCATTGAAAGTCAGAGGTGACTCGCTGTTTAGCGTAATGACTACTGCTATAGCTGCGAGTTCACTTATTAAACTGGCTGTTTGAGCAAAATTTGGCCATTTCCTATAGTGCTCTGCTTATATATGTGTATATAAATATATGTGTGTGTGTGTGTATATATATATATATATATATATATATATACATATATATATATATATATATATACATACACACACACACACACACACACACATCCTTGCACTGACACACTTTGTCTGATTTATCAGTTCCACTTACCATATAGGCACACTTTGTAGTTCTGAACAGATTGTAGTCCATCTGTTTCTCTGTATACATTGTTAGCCCCCTTTTATGCTGTTGTTCAGTGGTCAGGACCCCCACAGAGCAGATAGTATTTGAGTGGTGGAGCAATCTTAGCACTGCAGTGACGCTGACGTTGTGGGGGCATAATAGTGTGTGGCTAAAGTAGATCAGACACAGCAGTGCTGCTGGAGTTTTTAAATGTTGTGTCCATTCACTGTCCACTCTATTAGACACATCTACCTTATAGGTACACCTTGTAGATGGAAAGTCATGTCCCACTCCCTCCTTTATTTCACCCAAGTCATCCTCATAGTTTTTCACCCTGGGGCTTGTGTACAGCTCAAAATCACTTCAATTAGCAATAGAATCACTAATTATTCCTCACACTACATCACAACCATCCAAACACACAGGACTACAGTGGGGAAATCCCGCTGAAAGTGATGTCAGAGAGTGACAGCCCTGTAAACGAGATGTCAGTGCAGGTTTTGCAGTGTTCTGTGGGGCGAGAAAGAGGAAAGAAAGAGCTTTATGTGTCTGAATATCAAATCAGACGGGTGGTTTTAGCTGCAGTGTCTGCAGTGTCGCCGCTGGCTGTAGACACGATGCTGTTTTTCCCTTTGCTGTGGTCGGACTGTGTCTAATGTGACAGACAGGTTGTTTTCCTCCTAATGAGAGTGGCGGGGCTTGTAAGCTAGAATTATAATGAGCGAACTGGCTTAACCCCTTCCACTGCAAACACAAGGAGGACAAAACTTTGCACGAATGCCAGACTTTACAATGGCTGCTGCTGTTGTTTTTTAGCTTTGCAGCATACGCTGGGTCTGTTTTTGACTGAACCAGGACGCATAAGCAGGTCTGTTGGAGACTATTTGAGAACTCAACCCTGTTTCAGGCAACTGTGTACGCGTGATTCAGGCATGCAGTTTGCATAATGATATGGGTACAATAAACATGGTATCTGTGTATGTTGGCTGCATTAGCCTTTTCGCTCCAGTGCAAAACTAAGCAAGCAGACATCACAAAATATGTCTTGACTGATTGACTAAATCTGGGGTAATGGGAAAATTATGTCAATTCTTCACAGCTGTGATGTCATTCATGATAACGTATGACCTCATACTGTTGCTTTTATACAACAGTTTGGCAAAGTAAAGAAAAAAGTAAAGCAAAGAAGCTCCCAAGTGTTAGCAAAAGTAATTCCAAGTGGTTTGCCAAGTGACCGTTGTTGTAGTAGGGGGAAAATTCAGATCAGGTTGAATACTTTTCAGCCAATCAGATTGTGTGGTCAAACCTTGCTATTGTATAATAATTGTATTGATTATTAATGAACTGGTAAGTGAGCGCTGGCTACCCCCGGTTTCTGCTGTGGCTGCTCGCAGGCTTGTTCAGTGTGATGGGTGGAGTGGGCTGGCTGCTTGGAGGTGTGTGAGTTGGTGGGTTGGGTGGGGCGGCCGGTGCGGGGAAGTGGGCAGACAGGGAGTGGGCCATGCGCCGGCAGGGCAGGGCTGCATGTGGAGGCTGGAGGTTAGAGGGGAAACAAAGCCCTGCTTGTGCAGAATGTCTCAGTCTCTCTGTCTCTGTCTCTCTCTCTCTATCTTTAACTCTCTCTCTCTCTCTCTCTCTCTCTCTCTCTCTCTCTCTCTCTCTCTCTCTTTAACTCTCTCTCTTTAACTCTCTGTTGGTTCAGTAAAAACCTGCATAATGAACTTCAATTGTTGACAGCGTGTCTAAGGTATTTTTTCAGAAGTTTAAATGTTTGCTGTCAGATTAAAGTATATTAGAGTAGCTGGTTTAAGTGTGAAGGAATGGCTTGTTGATTCTTATCTTTGTGTATGAGAATGGAGCTCACAGTGATGTGACTGTTTCTGGCTGTGGTCATGCTTTTATGTCACTGACTTGCTCCCCAATGAGGTTTTAGTAAAACTTCTTCTGTTTTCTGTACCATTTCAGTAGGATCAAAAAATGGGTTGTTAATCACAATATCTAAACTACTTCATTGCACAAATAAAGAGAAATGGAGGTGTAAGCTCTGTACTAGAGGTGTTGAAATCCAATGCATGTTTAGAGTGAGTAGCCTGGTTTTCTGCATGGCTCTAGGAGTGGCATTCTGTTACTCAGAACAACATTTCAGACATAACACTCATGCAGGAGGATGAGTGAGTACGGGTGTGCATGTGGACGCTCTGGTGCTTTGAGAAGGCAGACATTCCACGACGAGTGGCTTAAGCAGGGCTAGCTCCAGTTTCACTTGCCTAATTATTATGCCTTTGAGACCAGAGGCCACACTAAGTTAAAACAATATTATTCCAAAGTGGCTAAATGGTTAAGCTGTCTGTCTGACACAGTGGGCAAAGACCCTTCAGTGTTGTTTAACTTTTACACTTTCCTACCTAAAGTGCCGCCAGGTTTAAGAATCTCTTCTATAACATCATGCTTAGTCTTGATCTTCTCCTTTCAGACATGGACACTCTGCTGTTGTTTATTATGTGTTTTCTCTGTACATCATGGCCCTCAGTCAATGTGTGAAAATAACACTTAAGTGGAGTAACACCCTATTTAACTTAAAGACACGTTAACTTGATTGTCCTTTAACTCTGTGATTGGGTGTGGCGAAAGGTCCTTTTAAACTATGTTAAGGAGTCTGTGTACTTAAACATTTAGACACAAATGATTTAGTTAGGTAAAGACAAGGATTAAGAGAGAAAAATGTGGGCATGTGAGGACAGTCACTGTTGAATAAGTGTGTGTATGTGTGTGTGTGTGTGTGTGTGTGTGTGTGTAAACGAATGAATAAAATTCATCATGAATTAAATTTTTTTGTGTATGCTTAGGACAATTACTGTTGATTATATTAGTAATTGAATATTGAACCTGTTATTTTGATGAATAGTTAAGTCATCAGAGTTTTATGTTAAAGACCAAACCATCAGTGGTGCTGGAATGTCCACTCACTGTCCACTCAACCTTGTTGGTCCACCCTGGAGATGTAAAGTCAGAGACGATAGCTCATCTGTTGCTGCGCAGTTTGTTAGTCATCCTCTAGTCCTTCATCAGTGGTCACTGGACGCTGTTGGCTGAATATTTTTGGTCGGTGGACTATTCTCAGTCCAGCAGTGACTCTGAGTTGTTTAAAAACTCCAGCAGCGTTGCTGTCTGATCCACTCATACCAATGCAACACACACTAACACACAACCTAAGAATGATCCACCACCCAAATAGTACCTGCTCTGTAGGGGTCCTGTGGGGGTCATGACCATTGATAAACAGGGTAAAAGGGGGCTAACAAAGTATGTAGAGAAACAGATGGACAACAGTCTCTGTAACTGTAACTGTAGAACTACAAAGCGCGTGGGCTGATAAAATGGACAGTGAGTGTGGATGCAGTGTAGGTATACTAACAAAGTGCTCATTAAGTGTATAGGAGAGTGTAAAATATACATTATCATACTTAGTACCAGCTAACCACTGCTGATCAATAGGAAAGGTACATTTTATTTATTTATTTATTTATTTATTTGAGTTAATTTATGACTGTGATGTGTGTTTGTGTTTCCCTTTATAGAATTGACCGGAAGATGTCCAGCAGTCAGACCAACTACAAGCTGGACGAGGCACAGGCTATCTTCAATGAACTGCGCAGCATTAAGAAGGCTATCAGCTCAGGCGAGAAGGAGAGGCAGGACCTCATCCAGGTCAGCTGCTTTTTCAGCACAGGCACCCCTTTTTCCCAGACGTTTGCCTGACTGCTTATTTAGGTGGAGGAGAGATGGGTCCTGTGATGTTGGCTTACAGATTTTGGCTTGTTAGCCGTGCTCAGGAGTTTGGCTCTTTCATGGTGTCCTTCCCACAGGCACTTTCCGGCCGCTTCACTGTTTATTGTTTAAGTCCGAGCTGCACAGTTCCTTTCCACTCATGACCTGCTCCATACTGCCACCATGTGGCAAATATTTTATTCTGGTATATTTAGTTTGTGTGTTTTTTTAAAAACGTGTTTTAAAATGACACAGCATAGCACCTCTGTTTAACCTAATTCTATGCTGGTATTAATTAATTTGTATTTATTGACAAATGTAATCAGTCTTTCACGTATTTCTTTGTCTTTTCTCTGCTGGTCTGTGTGTCTCAGAGCCTGGCAAAGTTGACCGTGAATTTCCACAGCCTTTCCATTGGTGACTCCATAAATGAGGTGGCCAACAGTGCAGGAGCTCTGAGCGACTCCTGCAGCATGCAGCAGTACACAGACGCTGGCTGCCAGACGGACCTGATTGGGGAGGTTGGTTTATTCGTTTTCAACTGGGATTTTGTGGACATAGCATTCTTCCAGAATCAGTACTTTGGAATATGTTTATACATCTCAGTCAAGCCAAGACAGATAAAAAAAAAATTGCACTAGCCACTTGGGCCACCAAGCCAAGTAATCCTGTGACCAAAATTAAGGATTTGTGGCCAGAATAATAGAAACATTATCTTATGTGCGTTGTATTTACAATTAAGAAGCATGCTTCAGTACAAAAAAAATCAGGTGATGCTTTGAAAAAGGAAATATTTGTTAATAATTTACATTATTAAAGAACATTGCCATTGTGGTGACCCTGGTGGTCCCCCTCTTTGAAGCTGATGCACCTGATGTCATCGTAGGTTATTTTACTAGATGTTACTTAGCTACTGACTCTCCCCAGTTTACACCTTATTTTATAGAATAATATTAGCAAACTTCAGCCAGTAGAACAGCATTTATGATTAGCTGTCGCAATGGTTGCAGTTATAGAGTTGCAACAAAATCTGATTTTTCTGATTAGTTTCATGTCCAATCCAAAAAAGGGAATAAGTAGGCAAAACTCCAAGTGGCCTCTCAGTCTTTGCAATTTTAGTGGCCAAAATGTGAGGTCAGGAGCACTGGGCTGTAGTTACCATTGCCCTGACCTCATTACTGTTTGAAAAGACCGTCTTGAAAAACCAAAGTGGAAGCCCAGCCTGGTCACTGAACTTTCTAAAATACTAAAGGAAATGGTTTCCTAATGAGCGTAAAGAAACCTAAAGAAATGTTTAACTGTAACTGGTATGTTTTTGTGCATTGCTTGTATACATTGTACTTGAACCCAGGTGCTGTTATGCCTTACAATAGGGAAGAAAATTACATTTAGAAAAATAAAACTAAATACATCATCTAAATGCATACAAAACAGTTATATAGTCAATCAGTTATGTAAAAAAACTACTGATCATTTTCTGTATACAGCAAGTTTTACCATGTAAAAGTGTTATGAGCTTTTAGAACCACTGTATTAATAAAATTGTTTAATTTTAATATAATTTCTTCCTGCTCCAATTATGGATGACACTCTTACAATTTCTACTTCCACTCTGTTCCTTGTTTTATTCTAAGAAATCAAGAGACAGTATTGCCTTTGTTAAACATTTCTTCAGGCAGCATTGAGAAATATACTGACTGGAGATATTAGCTTTGCAGCTACTATAATTATAATAATAATGACCTCTGACTGTGACTCATTGCAGGATCCATTTTGTAATTTGCAAACTTGTCTTTTCAGTTTGGTTCCCAGGAATCATCACCGTTAGTTGACAAAATCAGGCTCAACTGGCAGTATGAGGAGGCCAAGAAAAAGTGAGTCCTGTTTTCCATCCTTCTGTAAAGGAGTGGGGATTGCTGTATTGCTGGAATACTACTTCTTCCTTCCTTTTTACATTCTAAATTTAGTCTTTTTTCATTGTGAAGATGCACTGTTCCATTGATTCACTGTGACCTAGGGAATAGAAAGGAAATTGTGCTTCAGATTATGTTGCATTTGATCCCTTTCTTTGCTGAGGCTCTTTCAGCTGCCTCTAGGAGAGTTTCTGTTACTCCTCACTGAGCTGAGAGGCTGGTGATCACATGCTTTATCAGCTGTGTGGCTCAGACTGACTCTGCTGTTTTTCTGTAAAACCCGCAGTTGCTCATGGCAGACATGTCTTTTGTAATTGTAGCTAAACAAAGTATGTAGATAACCTTGCTGCTTTTAAAGTGACGGTTCAGCAAAAAGAAAATGTGCAAAAAGTTGCATAGCTAAAAGAAGTAGTCACAGCCGCCATAATGGCTGAATTTCATTTGTATGTTTGGCCTTTTTTATAGATGTCATGCAGTGTCAGAAACCACATAAAATCTTACTGAGAAGCCACTTGTGAAGCGCCAGTCCCTGATGAATACGCTTCACTGCTCTTTAGTATTTAAAAAGTGCAGGACTGGGCTGGCACTACTGACAGATGTAGCAGCACAGCAGGGATGTCCTATGTTTTTATGCGGGCTGCAAGTGGACTTTACAAGACGCGTGTTGCCATAGCCACAGTGCTATCCACAAAGCTGCAGCTGTGACGTCAGTAGGAGAAAGAGAGGCAGAGAGGAGGAGGGATGGAGAAATGGAGAGGGGGAAAAACCTGTGGAAACTTGCATGCTCTGTGACTGAGTCATGTCGTCTGAACTCCAAAACACACAAACACGCATTCAGAGCCATCTTTCAGTAACTCACCCGTGTTTTACAACATGCATGACCGCTGAGGCACACCTGACCCTGCACTTTTACAGACAACAGACACAGTCACATGCAAAAGTTTGAACACCCCTGCTCAAATCACATTCTGTTGATTTCCTAAGTGACAATAAGTACACATCCTCTACAGAGAACACACCTCTGCACATCGTAATGCACAGGTACTGTTTATTTGCTGAATTGGACATACTGGAAAAATACATCCTCTACAGTAGTGATTCCTGAACTTTTTGCAGTCCTGTACCCCTCAGACATTAAACTTCCTGCTGCATACCCCCTCTCATTCCTGCACGCAGATTACCATGATGCATATTTGACCCCTTAAAATCCTAGACTTATTACATACTAAGCCGTATTATTCAGTAACTGCAGGGACTTCAGTGCAACCTGGTTCAGCTATTCTTAGCTTATGGAAGTGTGTAATAAAACTTTGGCCCTGCCGGCAGGTCCTGACCATTTAAGGGGTTAAGGCAATAAAAACGTTTAGTACAGGATACTTACTTCATTCATGCACACAGTAGACAGTAAATTGAATTAACTTTACTGCTGTTAGTTTCTCCTGAATACGCAGCACTCGGAAGGAGCCAGAGTGAAACGCCTTCTTATCCAGCACAGCCTTTTATAATAAAGAATTTATGTATTTCCCCATTTAGTTTTACATAGGCATTTTACTGATTTGGAATGACTGTGGACTGATTGTGGAAGGTAATGTAACCAAAGTAACTAACAGACGCAAATCGTACTTACGTAATTATCATATCGTAATTAAAAGCTTTTGCCTAATCAAGAGTCCTTAATCAGTCCCACCAGGGTTTTGCTGCCTTATTTTGTGAATGTTACAGGCTAAAATGCTTCATTATGCTGCAGCTTTTCTCAGTATTTCTGGTGATATTTGCACTTCGTTTTAGGGGGAGAGTTTGCAATTAAACTGTAAAAATCTGGGATCATTGAGAGCCTGGTATTTCTCCCATTTGTCTTGAATGTAGCCTAGTTAGTTCCTGACAAAAACAAGGGGGAAACAAACAGAAAAAATAAGTGTACCTCTTAGAAACTTGAGAATTGTAAAAAAAAATATATATATTTTAATGCTGTTTTAAACTCTTAAACAGGAGAGTTTGTAATGAAACTAATTGTATCTAAAAATACCTTGTTTATGCAGTATAGTATTTAGAAAATGAGGAGAAGAAGTAAAGAAAAGTGCTCTGAAACTTATTCTGGTAGAACATGCAGTAACACTGGATGACACCTCTTGGGCAGTATCCAAAGATTACTTCGAATTTCCCTCAGACTGTATGTTGCCGTGACAGTGGGGAGTTGTTCTACTGTAGCTTAATGGCTTATTAATTCAAAAGGGAACTACATGTGCATTTGTGTGTGTGTGTTGTTTACTAGTATTTAACTAGCTGTGTAAAACTAGTCCTCTTTCAGACCTCTTTCACAACATGGCAGCTTCTGAAGCATTGTCGTGTGGTTACTTGTCAGTCATTTCCTGTATCTGATTGTATCGCCCTATCTCACAGGCCCACTGCTGAACTAGATTTAGATGTTCTTTGAAACTTGAACACAGTGCAAAATCCATAAAAGTGTAAAAATTGATGTCATGACATAAAAGTGACAGTCATCAGGTTTGTGTGTTGTCTACAACAGTGTTGCACGATATACTAAGTCTGTACCCTTTTTCAGTGTAAAATGTTTGCCAGTTGGTTGTCTAAAATATTTGTTGACAAATCATTTCTGTGTTATCCATGGCTTCCTGGCCTGTAGCACAAAAGGTGAATGAAAGAAGTAGCATTACTGAGCCAGGAGGGGGAAAAAAATATGGCATGTGTGCACTGCTGCAAGTCACACTTTAAAGCCTGAAATAATAATTGAAAAGACAGAGGGGTCGGGTCAGATTTCTCTGGAGTTTTTTGGGCCATATTAAATGTCTTTATGAATTAATGTCACATGCACAGGCTCTAAAAGAAACTCTGGCTTGCTATTTAGGTCTCAAATACAAAATCAACATTACACTGATGGAGATATGATAACAATGGTATATAATTCACTTGCATCCCTGGAAGACATGCCCTTTTTCAGGTTTTGACTAAGTTCTCTTTGAATACTTATTCAACACACTTGTGAACATCAGATTCATTCTCCGAAGCACAACCAACGTTACAAAGTTTACTTCGGCATGTTGCATGCAATTCCACATTTACACAAGAGAGGTCTCCAAATTCCCAAAACTTACATATTGTAGCATTACAATAATTGTGAGATCACTTATACAGTTTACACATCTAGTGCAAAAATAATTTGATGATTAGACAAAATCACAAGCCACTGCACATATTGCAAGGGTTGGTTGCAAATTCTTGGAGGGATTGCTTCATATTAATAGTGAGGATATATTGTGTGTTGAATAATATTGAAGAAAAAGAGTGAACTTTTTTTTGAGTGTATACATATTATACCCATAAACTCTCACAAATGCACAGATTTTTATACAAATTTGTTTTTCTCTCTCTCTCTCAATTCTCTCCCTCTATATCTCATTCCCACAGAGTGTCCAGTATTCAGCACCAGCTGGCCCAGTTGGACAGTGAGAGCTGGTCGGGGCGTGCTGAGGCTGACCGAGACCGAGACTGTCTGCAGCTGCTGAGGGAGAAGGAGGCACTCCTGCAGGAGCTCACGTTGCTCTGCCAGCAGCAGCACCCCCCAGAGCTCTTCCTCCAGTTAGACGAGGAGAGGCGCAAGCTGGAGGAGGAGGTGCAGAAAGCCCAGAGCACACAGAGTCAGGGGGCCAACCAAAGGTCAGCACTCAGTACTACTGCATGTAGACTGAAGACTTGTCTTGTTCTTGTGCAAGCATAAAAATGCTATTTCAGTATCAGCTCAAAGGTATCGTCCAAATCCAGCCTATTTACACTAACTTAAGAATACTTTCCAAGTAGATGACAGAACAGCTCTGTAAGTTACTATGGATAAGAAGCATCTGCTGTAAGTGTAGACTGTGTCAGTACACTAACTACACTGCTTCTGTTTCTGGAAGAACATTTATGCTACAAAAACAAAGAGTAGTTTTGGACTCCAACAAGGTGGTGACAGGACTCATTACTAGCTACTAGCTACCATTTAAGATGTAGCAAGATGCTCCTGTATAATGGTGCAGTCACAGGAATGTCCCGGTTTGCAGATTTTGTTGAATTGTATGGTGGCCAACTGCTGCTTGTAGCTAAAAAAATCTGGGCACCACAATGGCAGGAGTGAAAAGGGTGTTATCAGCAATAGGGCACAGAATTGCAATGGCAGTAAGCTGTTGACACTGCATTCCAAAACATCATCGTGGTAGTTTCATTGTGTATCAGAATACTACAGCCATGGTGGTTTAGCATAGATACTTTCAAGTAAATAAGGGTCCCTCATCCCCCTACTGGGAGCAGAGACAGTTTAGTAAGGCACTACTGGCCGCTCATTATGAAGAATGATACTCCAGAGATACGACAAAGAGATATTGGCCACACAAGGAGCCAGTGCAGTGCCTCAAAGCTTTAATCTGAATTCAGACCACCGAAGTTCTGTGCTTTACAGACTGTGTTAACAACTTCTGTTCTTATGATAAAAAGTGAAGCCATATGTGTCATGTGCTGTGTCATTAGTCAGCAAAGCTAGTTGATTATGGAATGGGCATGTCTTAAAAACAAAAGCACTTAATAATTCTACAATTTCTTTGAATTATTTTTAATGTATTTATTTGTTGGTTACACATCATATATAGGTCTTTACTGTCTAAATGCAGTATTTCATACAGTATTGATATTATACAGTGCTATGCAATAGTATTAGGCATCTGGAGGGGGATAGAGCTATTTATCTGGGGAATTTATTTGTTTAAAAGACACTACATTAGACTAAATACCAATAAATGATACATTGTGATTAGGTGTCTCTTAGTGTGTTAGCTTAGCCATTTCCCAACCTCTCCATGTTGTGGATAAATATTTACATTTAAATCCAATACCTGCTTCTTCTAACCAAAATATTAAGAACTGTTTTTAAAAAACATTAAATTCTTGTTACATTTCACTGTTTATCTGCATTTATTTAATGTTGTATAGTGTTTTACTCAGAAAAATCACATTTACTACTGAGATAAATACGTTCAAAGAATTTTCTTGGCTGCTGAAGACTTTTGTATGATACTGTACGTGTCTGCGTGGTGTAGGATACTGCAGCAGGAGAAGAGGAATGTGTTGCTGCGACAGCTGGAGGAGGCCACCCGCATCACCACCTATCTACACTCTCAGCTCAAGAGGTACATTATAGCTTTACATATAGAACACAAATATATAGAATATATACCTTTCAAAAAGCAATGTGCTTAGTCATAAATGTGCAGCAATAATTTACGTAATTTTTCCTTAACCCCAAATGTAGTTGATAAGTAAAGACATGTTATTCAGCTAACAAGTAATGGGAGCTTATGTATACCACACCATTGTGCAAACTGTATGTTTAGATCATCACACGCTTCTATCAGTTACAGTGAGTTGTTAAGTAATTACATATAGACTGAATTATTTAGTTTCTGACACTGTATGACAATACAGTGAGCTATAAAAATGGACAAAAGTACAACAAAGACTGTTCACATTACAAGCCTCATTGCTCAGTTCCAGTTTTGGATCTAGTATTTAACTTGGTGGTCCACTTTTGTGTAGGTCAGTTCTTATGGTCATTACTGCAGTGCTGTTCTCTTGCAGTTCATGGCAACATCAGGTTTAATACAGTTTCAGATACCAAGTCTTTCATTATAGAAAAAAGCTTGCTGATCTAATGGACAGAACAAAGCACTAACAGTGAATACGATGTTTAAAGAAAGAGACAAAACAGCTTTTTGCTGGCATGTAGTTTAGACAGAGCTGGTTTATGAGGAGCCTGACCACTTCCACTTTCTCCTGTTATGTCAAAAACTTGACTGCAAAATGCGAGAGGGCACCCGTGAGCGAGTCCTCAATGAATGGGGGTAAATGGAGCTCAGCGGCTAAAAAAGAAACGTTAAAATAGTTTCTAATCACTCGCCCAGAACTTTCCCTTAATTTTAGATAGTAGAATGATGTATTTAAAACTATAATTTTTCCTTTTTTCTACAGCAAATGGGTTTTAGCCAGCAAGACGCTACTATTACTGCTACTGAGTGTTAATTTGTTAGTGAGCGGAGCAGCTCATTGGCTGTTCGCACTCACTGACGTCATGGACGTATATGAGGCACTGCTTTAAATTTCTAGAACTCGAGTTCAAAAGCTTTTAAAAAATATAACATCAGTGTTAAAATGGTTTAGGCTATTTAGTGTGCAGGAAATAAATGTATTCATTTACATTGAAAATGTTTAAGCATTTATAAACTATGATTTTGCTCAAATGCTCCATCTTAACCCATTCATTTTGGACTCGTCCGGGAGCGCCCTCTAGTGTTTGAGAAACCCGGAAGACATTACAGAGTGGTAATTCTCCTCCCTACAGGTTCTCTGGTTTGGATAGCACGTTTTAATAAGTTACAGATCAGATTCTTTTAAAACTTGCTTAAATTTCATCTGGATTAGTTATTGCACCTGACAGGTTTTTAGTAAGAATGTACTTTGGTGCAGTGCAATGCATGCAACTGAAAACGAGACACAACTAAAAGTCACTACTAAAGATTCAAGACTCGACTTAGACTGCAGTTGTGAACATCTCTCATCTCTCTGATCTTTTGTGTGATGCTAATGGTGTACATAAGCTTTTATTGCTTGCAGCTATAATAGCCATGTAATTCCAGTGTAAAACATAATGATGTCTAAACTAAGCCACTATTATTTGAGGTAAAGAGTAAATGAAGTTTTTTCTGGAACTCTTCCTTCTCATAGCCCTACTTAACTCCTCTCTCTTTCCTTAGTCTCTCAGCCAGTTCGCTGACCGTGTCGTCCAGCAGCAGCCGAGGCTCTCTAGCCTCTAGCCGAGGCTCTTTAGCGTCTAGCCGCGGTTCTCTGAGCTCCGTCAGCTTTACAGACATCTATGGTCTGCCCCAGTATGAGCGGCAAGAAGGCTGTGTGGATGTCCCGGACCCCTCCTTCCGCTACCTGCTGCCTGTGGAGGCCCCAAGCAGAGACACTTCTGCGTTCGTCCCCAAACGTGCCCACGACGCTCCGCAGTCGCTCACCTCTCTCTCCTCCCGCTCTTCGCTCTCCTCGCTCTCCCCTCCCAGCTCCCCCATGGACACCCCCTACCACTCAGGCCCACAGGACTGCCCCCTCACCCAGATGACCGAGGAGTACATGGAATTGGCTGGCCGGGGGATGGTGCTGGAGGGGCTCCGAGGCCAGACTCAAGCCCAGCAGCAAGCTCCCCTTTCTGTGGAAGGTGAAACAGGAGGCTCCTCTACAGCTCACCTTCTGGAGGGCAAGGGCCATAGAGACGGTGGAGTCCAAACACCATACAGTTCTACAGGTAAGAAAGATCATTCCAAAACAAATATTAACATTTTCGCAAGTGTGCAGTTGTGATGTATTGATTTGAAAGTGGCAATTCAAGTCCGTTTTGAAGTGTTATAGTGGGTAGTCCATGTCCTAAAATCTTACTTGCACAAAGGCATGGACCACTGAGCCCCTTGACAGTTGGGACCAGGCATCAGCATGTACATGAATGACCTGAAACATTACTTAACATACCCTGCAACTTACAAACGATAATGTTAAATATGTTAAAATAAAGAATATGTAAAAAAAGTGTCTTACAGGCTTCAAATGGCTGTAGATTTTTTTGTAGCCATTAGTAGTATTAAAAGCAGTGTGGAAAAATGAATGCGTGTGTCATGGTTAGCTCAGCGCTACACAACATTGGAAATCGCACAGAGGTGCTAGCAGCAGTAATTTCATAAGAAAAGGCTAATTAGAAGTCGAAGGTTTCAGAATTAAACACTGAGATACATTTGTGATTATGACAGGGAGCATGACTGCAGTATACAATGATGGGTGACTGAAAGCTCTTGTCCTCATTCAGTGGTCCATTTTTTTATGAACTGTATTTCTTGGTGAAATAATTATTTTTTGAGATTATGATTAATAATACATTAAATGAATATTTATTGAACATTGGTGTATTGCATTATATTTTATGTTGTTGTGTCATAAAAGCAGTAAGATGGTTTTTGGACACCACCCACCCTTGCTTATTGCTTTAGTAATCAATTATCTTAATATTCAGGAAAGTTTTCTGTTCAGTAAAATAAAAAGGCATTTAAAATTTTCAATTTGTTTTTAAAATTGTCTTTTTATTTCACTGTATTATATATTATAGACGTCTTACATATATACACAGTCACATTTGTGTATCATGCTAAATTAATCTAAATTAATCCTGGTAAAATTTGAGGTTTCGTGATGCACTGAATTGTTTCCTAAAGAACTGTAATCAAATCAAAATTACAATGTAAGCGATTTACGTCATAGTGAATTTAGGTTAATATTCTCTGTATCTCTCTCATGCTCTCTCTCTCTCTTTTGTGCTCTTTTTCTCTTGCTCTCTCGCACTCTCTCTCTCTTGCTCTTTCTTTTCTGCACTCACTTTCTGTCTCTCTCGCTCTCACACTCTCTTGCTCTTTCTGTCTCTCTCTTTGTGTGTCTCTCTCTCTCTCTCTCTCTCTCTCTCTCTCTCTCTCTCTCTCTTTCTCTTTCTCTTTCCAGGAGTGACCCTGCGCTCTAATGGTGTTAATCGAAGTGGTCGGAGAGCTCGCCGCGTGTCTGCTGGTGTGAGTGAGGATGTGTTGGCCACAGACAGCGGCGTGTTTGAGGCCTGGAGCAGGAGGTTAGAGCATCCAGCCAATCTTTACACACATATGCACTGCAGGGCAATTCATAAAGCACATATAGCACTATTTGATAGCCTTTAACTAAAATTAGAAAATACGTTATAATTAGTTTCTACATACATATGAGAAGTGCCTTTGTAGAGGAAGAATGAGGAGCACAGCACACAAATGTACTTCGCATTCTGTTTCTCCATGTTCCTGTGCTGTTTGGCCCAGAACACTAATTCTGAGAACACATTTATGGTTTCTCAGCAGAACTGGAGTACTCTGCCACTGCTGCAACCTTTCCCTTACTAGCCACAATCTGCTAACATGATTTAACTGGTTTAGCAACTCAAGCCTTGTTCATGCCTTGCATGACTTTCTCTGTTCCTCAGACTGAACAAAACCCAGATTATCTATAGCCTCTGTTTATTAGGATAGATAGAAATAATGGGTCTATTTAAACTCTTCTTTGTCTCATTATAGTGTGTTAAGAATAAAGCATGAGAACAGCAAGTCTTAGTCTGGTGTCTATACGCTGATACTCTTGCTAAATTGATCCTCACAGCAGGACAGAGGAGGTGGAAGAGGTGATGTTTACCCGAGACGCCATCAGCGCTCCCGAACCCCCTCAGGTCCAGCTCGGACTCCTGTAAGTCTGTTTGTCTGTCTCTCTGTCTCTCCCTTCTCGCTTACTTGCTCTTGCTCTCCCCCTCTTATTATTTCCATCTTTGTTTCCATCACTGTTTTTACTCAGTACTGTTTAGCCTGGCTATTCCAACTAAAGATGGCAAGCAATAGATTCAATACCAGGTACTGATACAGGCCTGATATCAGCAGAAAATGTAACATATTTATTCTGAAGTAGCACACACTCACATTATGTGATGTTAGCTGTGTGTTTCTTCCAGTGAAATAGAGTGTGAATAGATATTAGTGTTTGAGTAGTTTGGGCATGATAGCCTTCTTTTAGATCATCTTAAGTGAGATACTTCAATTAAAAACTTTTTATACAGGAAGTATCAAATCAGTACTGGCATATATGCTCAAGGTTTCAATATCTGTATCATGCAGAAAAAGTGCCGTAGTCCCGTCTCTAGTTTTCACTGAAATTTAGTGCCATTGGCTCTGTTGAGAATTTGTGTTGTTCTTGATCAGACTCTGCCTTTCTACAGGTATGATTCAACCTCCATGTCTCTACTGCTGCATGTGCTTCAGATGAGAAATCTGAGCAAGGCCACTGTGAGAGACGGCTACAAAGTGTAAGTCAGTTGCTGCTGCATGCATCTGTTATTTTTAATGATCATTTAAATGCCTAGTTGAAACAGCAGGCATTTGTTGAGGTTGTTTATTGCCCTGGCTGACTGTTTGTGTGTGTGTCTCAGCTTTGTGAAGGTAAACGTGCTGCCCATGGACTCCAGCCGGCCGTGCACATACTACTGTTGTAAGGCCCAGGAGCCGCGTTCAGCGCTCAGCTTTAATGAGGGCTTCCAGATCCCACTGCCTACAGGGGGCGCCAGTTCCCATGCCCTGCACCTGCAGCTCTGCACCCTGGGACCCCTTGGCCATGAAGAGCTGCTGGTGAGACCCAGTTTACACACACGGAGGCCTTTTACTGAACTCTAGGAATAACATGTAGGCCATGCTACCAGCTAGAAGTGATTTTAGAGATAATCTGAAGGAAGGCAGGTCCTCAAACTCCACTCCTGAAGTTCCACAGCAATGTACATTTTGTTTTCTGAGCTCCAACACACCTGTTTCAGCTCATTAGTTAAACCTAACGTTGAATACAGCATTACTGTGGTACTGCAGTCCTGGGGCCTTACGGGGTAGAACTGTGCAATACGTTGTTTGTTAACTGTCGTTGTATTATTAACCTTTGCAACACTAATATTGACAGAGACTACGATATGCAAATCGAGCCCTCTAACAGGACAGACATCAATAATTTTGACCAGTGTACACAGGCTAGTCTTTCACCACATCATGTCAGTGGTTCACTGGTGTAGTGTTTCCCACTCCTGTCCTCAGCGGCCCTCAGATGCCCCATTTTTTTCTCCAACCTAAATCACAACTCATGGGGATGAAGGAAAAATGTGGGCCATCTGGGGGGCCCTGAGGACCAGGTTGGGAGACAAACAGTGCTCTAGTACATTTATATAGTGTAAGCCGTATCATAAATAGTGAAAATCATTAGTAATCAAAGTATAATCACAATATGGTATTTTATCCATATTGTGCAGAGAGTTTGTTGATACTTGTTGATGACGTGTGTGTGTGTGTGTGTGTCTGTCAGGGCTCAGTTCAGGTGTCACTGGTGGACTGTGCGGGCAGCACAGAGATGCTGTTCCAGTGGCACCGTGTACAGCTGCTGCAACAGACCCCCAGCAGTGCGGAGAACCACCGGGCTGAACCCAGCAGCCTCTGCCAGCCCAGCCACAGTGTGGACGAGGAAGAGGAGGAAGACGAAGAGCATGGCACAACCCAGGTAAGCACACAGCTGACAGCTTAAATATGTCCTATTTGCTTTTTCATAGCTCCAGTATGCCGAAATTACTTTTGTTCTTGCCACTCTCACTTTCCTGCCTCTACCCATTTATCTCTCCCTCTTATCTCTCTCTCTCTCTCTCTCTCTCTCTCTCCCTCCCCCTCCCTCACCCTTGCTTTAACTGCATCTCTCTTCCTCTATCTTTTTTGGCCTTTTTCTGCCTTTCTGTCTTTTTGCATCTCTCTCTCTCGTACTCTGTAGGTGTCTGTTGGGGCTCAACTGGAGGAGGTAAAGAGAGGGCTGGATCTGAGTGAGGAGGAGCTGGAGAGGAAAGAGGAGCAGGGAGAGGCAGTGTCTGAGAGGTACACAAGCGCAAGCACATTTGTGTATGTTTAAATATTTGATATTCCACTTTCACTGCCTCTGTCTTGCATCTTATTTAGATACATAAACACTCATATAATCAAAGAAAAATCTGTAGCTTCACTCCTGTAATGTAGTGTGTTCACCTTGTTCCAGGAGCTGGCAGGCGGAGTCTGTGGACAGCGGCTGCAGTAACAGCACAGCGTTCGTCACTCCTTGTCCCGAAGGCTTGTGTGCTGAGGGAATCTGTATAGCCACCGGGGGGCACTGTGTCCCCCATTCTGACAGGTCCCTTGTTAAAAAGGTAACAGCCCTACATAATTATGTTTTTAACCCTTTTGAACTGGTCATCTCACTGACGAGACAGAATACCATGCTATGTTTAAAGTGTCCAAGTTTGTTGTTGTGGGTCGTTTACTTCCTGAGTGAACCCACAGCATAATTTTATAGAAACCATGCTTGTTTATTCGTTTTGTTCACAAATCAGTTTAAATCCACCATCTTTATTTATGATGTGATGTGTGGTCCACATTCTGCATTCGATTGGCTTTGGTTTGTGAACCACAGTCAGAGTATTCAGAGATTTGAAATTTGGGGTGGGTGTAAAAGAATTGAGCTTGTTTTTTGCTGTTCTGTGGGTTATTTCAGAAATATAGCATGTAGAAATTTTTATTCAATGACATTTTAGTAGCTGAGGTTACACTAAATCTGTGGATATGTACCATTTAATGGTTCTGTCCAAAAAAAAATGAATGTGCAAAACGCGGAAATATGCAAAGGTGGAGGTGTGTCAGTGTAGGGGTTAAAAAGTCTTTCAGCCAACATTCACTACTATCTTTTTCCACTGTATTAAGAGGGCGTATAATTAAAAAGAAGTGAAAGAGAAATGCAGTTAAAAATGGAGACCCGGAGAAGCTTCCTTTGGGGCTTTGCTGCTGGAGAAAGTGAATAAGTATTATATAACAGGTTGGGGCAGTTAGAAGGCACTTAAAGCTGATTATAGGGCCATTGTTCTTGTTAATGTTGCTTTGCCATGTTGTTTTTAAAAAATAGCTTCCCAACCTGGATTAATCAGGTCTTGATCCTGGTTAAAGTGTTGTCCACTTTTTAGAAACACACTCACACTTGAAATGCTCCCAGGTTGACAAGGCAACCAACACAGAGCTGATACGGATGCAGCCTAAGGAGCGGCCGGGGCGCTGGGGCCACGCCCCTCCATTCCTGCGCAGCAGCACGCTAGCCCGCTCGCACACGTTCTCACCAGGAGCCCGCAGCCAGTACGTCTGCAGAGTGAGTGCCGTTCCTTTCTTAATCAGGCACATACGCTAGAGCTGCCTATGCCGCTCTCTGAACTCATTTTCTCTCTCTCTCTCTCTCTCTCTCAGCTGTACCGCAGTGACAGTGACAGCTCCACTCTGCCAAAGAAGTCGCCATTCATTAGAAACACTCTGGAAAGAAGAACCCTGAGATACAAACAGGTGTGCAAAAGACACTGAAAGATATTCATTTGGCTCCCAATTACTACAAACCATCAGCACAGGTATTATTAGTGTATTTGCTGTTTGTGCATTGCAGTATGGAAGCAATTTCACAATTAATCGATACAAAGCACAAATGTGTTTATTGACAGTTTAGCGAAGAACATTTTTCCACAATATTCCCAGTTTTACATTGGTTTGCAGTGATTTACTCTAAATCTAATGTATTGCAGTTGTGTAAAAAAAAAAGTTTTTTTTCCTTTATTTCCCATCAAATTACTACAGAGAACAAAGATAAATATGACATTTTTTAGCATATTTGTATTTATTTGGTGAGACATTCGAAAATAGAACCTTTGCCCAGGCCACATTTTTGTTTTTTCCCAATATGTTAAATTCAGCCAATAAACAGTAACTGTATATTAAAACTTGCTGAAGTGTATTCTCTGTAGAGGTTGTATACTTATTTGAACTCCAGATTTCAGTGAAAACATGTAGTTAGACCAGGGGAGCCCAGACTTTTGCATATGCTTGTAAATCTGAAAAGCCTAAGTAGTCTGACAGTCACATACATTGACCAGTTTTTAATTATTTACAAACTCCTACTTTGATTCAGTTAATCTAGCCTCTTGGTAACCAGGTGGATATTATTAAGGCTGCAGTTAAACTCACCAGAAGACCTATTAGGAGCAAAACAATAAAGAAACTTTGGTAACAATAGCAACAAAAACCAGAATGTAAGCATTTTTAGTATCTCGGCTGTCTGAGCCAGCAAGGGAGAACTCTTTGAGTGGTGAGAATAATCAGGGAGAACTTTCATCTTCCTGTGCCAAAGTTTGCTCTCATCATTTTGTCACAGGTAAACAGTCAAGTGAAGGATAAGTTCTATAGTTTTGCCCTTGAACAGTTCAAGAACTGACAGTTGTTCATGATGAACAAATGACATTGACTGACTTTTTCAATCTAACTATTTATGCCTAGATCTCTTATAAAGCACAAGCTTTACAATGCATGCTGTGAACACCAGAACATTAGCAGGGCTCACAGAACTTAAACTAACCTCAAGACCCTGTTTACACATGGTCATTTCATGCATCTTGAGTTTCAGGATTATATATGGATGAGGCTAAGCCAAGTGTAAACGCACCCAAGACGCATTTAAAATGATCAATACAAATCCGATCGTTCAAACCACTTTAGAAGGTGGTCTGAGTCACATTTGATCCACGTTATAGCAGTATAAACACATCCATCTCTCCAAGACGCATTCGACAATTAAAACCCCTTCCAGTACAACTGAAACTGCTCCCCATGCAGTTTGTCAGTGGGCAGGTGATCAGTGTCTGCGAGGAGGATAATCATGGAGGATGCATGTGGTTGGGGACCAGACGAAACAAAATGCTTAATAGCAATATGGATAGACACGACTGTGCAAAACAAACTGCCAGAGAAGAGGCTGAACATATAAACAACTGGTGATTAGTTGCCGCCTATTTTAGCGGATTGGCATGTTCCGTTCCACACAGCAATCAGATTTCAGTCCGACTAATTTGACTACCATGGGTAAATTGATGTGGCTAAATTCTTATCAGTAAACAATCCACATAGTAGTCATTTGAAGTGGGCAGGTGTAAACGAGGTCCAAGTCAACGGTGTTTAACCCCAACAAACATAGATACATAGCTATTACTTACTTTTGCGACCACAGCAAAATTTAATGGTAGTTTATGGTACAAAAAAACAGAATATCACGGACCCTTCAACAGACTAAACAATGTTAATTACATGATTCCAGTGATTTCTATGCTTTTAGCTCCTGCAGCGTGTATGGTGATGAAGTATTTGCAAGGTAATCATAGACGTCTGGATATGTTTTGACGGGCAGTAACACATAATCGGGGCTCAAAGATAATTTATCGATTTGATACTGATTAACACCTCTGATCAAAGTGGTTTCTTTTTCTGGTATCTTGATTTGGAAGCCAGAGCCAGCGTTTATTGCTGACGAGAGTCAACATTTCCGCTTGACGCTTTATCTGGATTTTGCAAATACTATCTACAAAGCACAGCTTATTAAATATTTGTTTTAAATATTTACATTTATAATGTGGAATGCTATAATAAAAATAAAAATATTATCACACTAACATACGGCACATTTTGTCTATCATTACACCCCTAATGTGTGAATTCTCAATGCTTTTTTTCTCTGTGATTCACATGCAGCAGCCTCACCGTTCCTCCCTGGCCGAGCAGCCCACACGTACCTCTCTAGATCTGGAGCTGGACCTCCAGGCGTGCCGGACACGGCAGAGGCAGCTGAGTGAGGAGCTGACGGCGCTGCGGGAATTGAAGCTGCGGCTGGAGGAGCCGACCCCCCGTGGCCCCACAGAGCTGCCCCACTGGGTCCTGCGAGACGAGCGCTTACGCACCCTCCTGCGTGAGGCCCAGAGACAGGTATTGACTCAGAGTTCCACCTGCCCATGAGCGCAGATATATGTAGTCCATCCGTCCTACTATGGCTGCTGATAGAATATTGATTTTTGATTAGTTATTATTTCCACTCAGTTGCTTTTTAGTAACCTGGTCAAACACTATATGACTTGTAAAAACTTTTTTACTCAAAACCCCAAATCTCAACATTTTCACATGACACAAAGCTGGAACTGGACTTGGAACTAGGCTTGTTTGTGCTTTTATGCTTACATAAACCTTTTAGCTAAAATGCATGGAAACTGTTCATGGATGTGGTTGGGAAGACATGTTGCTGTTCTGCAGCAAGAGCTTGGACGTAAGTGTTTTGCTTTGAACTGGCAGCTGTCTTGAAATATATTGAGTACATACACATCTCTTAAGGCTCATTTATACCTCTGAAAAGATGCACATACACATCTGCGTAGAGTCAGTAGAATGTTATGCAGAGAAGGCTTAGCTTACAGAGGCCACAATGTGCTCACCTGCAAAAAGCGTAGCTACACATCGTGCGAGTCAACAGGGCTATACATTAAGCGTAAGCTAGTTTTTGGGTAAATTCTTAACATTATGATTGCTTTTCCTCTGAAACAACAATTAGACTGTCTTGATAAAAGTGTCTGCAATATCCTATAAATTAGTTCAATTCACGTTTTTCCCCTCTTGAGCACCTGCCCCCTCAAAATATCTGTGTATGTGCCTGCTGAACCCTAACCCCAAGTAGCACAAAATCAGATGGAATAGTTTGAGGATCGGCTGGTCAAAGAGGTGCAGTATTACAATAACATTTCTGACCTGTTTTCAAAATACAGGGTGTTCAAAAAGAATCATCTGATTTCAAAGCGCCATATTTTTACAACCGTGAGGCGCCTAGGAACCAATCACATACCAACTGAAAGAGGAGGTCATAGAGTTTCTGACTGTCACCGTAAGATGGCTCCCTTCAGTCTGCAAGGAGATGGCAACCCCTGAGCAGAAAGCGCTTTGCGTTCTCCACTTCAATAAGAGTGAATCTGTCATAACTGTGCAACGTGATGTTCAGCTCAGAGCGTTCGTTGTTGGTTCCACAACACTGGATGATCTCTGAAATCGCACGGAAAGAGCCACGAGTACAGTGACACCCGACATGCTGAATGGAGTATAGGATGAATGATCGCATTGATGTTGTCCATGCAGCTGGAGGAGGTCATACTGAGCACTTGTAAAATTACATAATAAACTTCATGCTCACTTAAACCATTTATAATTTGTTCTGTAATGATTTACAAGTGAAATAAATCATTTTGAATTCGGATGAATCTTTTTGAATCACCCTGTATTACAGAAACCTGAAGTGAGTGGTAATTCTTACAGAGAGAGAGAGGAAAAAATGTGAAAATTTCCTTTTCGTTCGCATAACACGTGCACATGTTCACAGATATGGAGACTCAGATGTGTAAATCAGTCTTTAGTATTTTTTTAAACATAGTTTTTTGTCACTGGCTATTAACTGTGTCACTCAGTCACTGACCATTTCACATTACAGGACTTGTAAATAAATGCTTTTGACCCATAAAAGTCAACATTGATTTGAAAATGTTGGGAGGTCTGCGGTCACTCTGATCAACTTGTTTCCCTTCACGCTTATAGATCTTTTGCCCCAGCAGTCACTTCTAATTGAATTCCTGATCTGGAAATGTGCTTCCGATTTTAAAACTTGTTGAAAGGGACAAATCAGGGGTAAAACCGAGCCTCTTATTCTCTCCCTGCCGCCCTCTCTCTAAGGCGAAGCAGACCAGACAGGAGCAGAGGCAGGAGGAAGCTGCTGAGAGAAGGTTGAGGAAGGCCTCTAAAGAAGTGCTGCAGATGAGAGGCCAGAGCCACAAAGAGCCGCTCCCCGTGCAGACCTTCAGGTGAGCACCAGTGCTACAGCTCTCAGTAAATCATCCTAACGTTTATCTGTCAGGACAGGATATTTCTGTATTACTGGGATACTGAGATTAGCATGTCTTCTAAAAGTTCTTGGTAACCTACATATGATTTGTTCTATCGTGTTCTGTGGATAGTGAAATCCTGTACATTGAGTTATTTAGTGTCTCAGAGAGAGTAACCATTGAGCCGTTTCTGTGACAGAGAGAAGATGGCTTTCTTCACCAGACCAAGGTTCAACATCCCCCCTCTGCCAGCCGACGACGTGTGACTCCCCTCCTGGACGCCATACTATCAGATATGAAGTATTTGTATTTTTTGTATCCAAGCCCATGAAGTAATTAGAACAACCATGCAGTTATTACAGCACAAAGAATAAAATGAAAGTTATAAATATGCAAGTTTCAACAGAAAGCTGCGGAAAGCTGTACAAAACAGTGTGTGTGTGTGTGTGTGCGCGTGTGACCGAGCGCGTGTGTACGTGTGTGTGTGTTTGTGTGTGTGGTTTTACTAATGCACACATGTACACCAATATTTTGTGTAATTATTGACATCTTGGCTGATTTTCCCCAAATGTTGAAAAGGGGAAAACGGTTGTTTTATAAGAGAACAAATTATCTTTTTACTCCTGTACAATGTACTTCTGAAATTTCATTGTTTGTGCTTACGTAAGGCTGGAAGACGGGAACAAAGTCAGTTTAGACAAATTCACTGTACTGTAACTTATTTTATAGTACTTTTCCTTGAAGGAAATAAAAATGCTTCCTGCTTGTTGATGTATTTTATAAAGCTTAAAACAAATAGCACTTACTGTAAGTGTTTGACGTACAGTAGAATGGACCTTTCAGCTGATTTTGTTTCTGTTACCTGATTCTTTAATGTTATTTACTTAAAATGTCACTTTCGATCCACTTTTATTACAGTTGTCATTGTCATTTGTGCTATTGTTATATTAAAATTATTAATATTAATTATTACTTGTACTTTTCAATATATAGATGACTATATGAAACACTGTTTTCAGATTTTTTTTATGGCGTCTGTAGGAACATCTGCAGTGTTACCTCTTTTGTAAAGATAAAACCATTAAACTGTAAAAGTGCAGCTTTTTGTGATCATTTGAAGTAAAGTATGTGCTTCACTGTTATGGACGTGTATTATCAATATGACTGAAAGAGTTGTAATAATAGTTTACAATGTGCATCTTTGTTGTTGTTATTGCTGTCTTTGGACAGGAGAGGGCGCTGTTATGACTCTAGATACCTGATTTCTCTGCTTTCATCAGTGCCAGAAAGGGTCAGTGGATGGCATCTCTTTTCTTACAAAGATAAATTAGTGACAATGACCATAAAACCTGCTGCTTTGAGTCAAAGCGACTGATGTTTTTTAGTCCTCAGCCGTGAACACAATTATACTCTGAGCCATACAGCCTAATGAAACTGATGGAGTCCAGTAAAAGTCACTAGAAAGAGCAAATACTGACATTCTTCAACATACTGTTATTCCTACCTTTAGGAATAATGAGGAAAGCTTCTGCTTTCTAGACATAACTGTGTGGTCATTTACACTGCATTCAAGTAAGCTGATTGTGTTTGGGTTTAAAGTGCACTGATGGTGCTATTCCGTGTCTAATACCAAAACAGGAAAACCGGAACTGTCTGGGTTTAAAAAAACAGGCAGGAAAATTGCTGTTGTAATCGTTAATAATCTTAAAAGTTGCTGAAGCATAAGGACATAAAACTCCCTCATTAGAGAACTTTCCATGGTGAAGTTTGGCAGCTTATCAAGAAAAACCACACATTAAATGTAATTATCAAATTGCATGGGGTGTTTTCCCCTGAGAGGGCAGGACTCTAAACTGTGACCCGTTTGAACGTCAGATATCTGCACTCGCAGTTTCCATGATCCCTACGGCACCGAGTTACTGGCATAAAACAGGACCACCAGCACTACTGTAATTGTAAAGCCACCCTTTATGGCCTGTCCCACTGGGATGAGAAAATAAGACACATTTGTGCAGGCCTGTGTTGTAAGTGGCTGGTAGGTATACAGTGGCTTCTTTTCAGAAAATGCACTCATATTTGTTTTAAAGCTGACCGGATGGATGCAGAGTGGATGCCTGCAGTCAGCCTGTCTCTCTCCTTCTCTCCAGTGAGTGATGTTCTGCTTCACACACTGCGCTGATGCACTGAGAGATTAAGAGCAAAGTCAGCACAAGCTGATCTATGGAGCTATTGATCTCCTGCTGTCTCCTTACCCCCCACACCCCCCTCCATACCTCTCTCTCCCTCTCTCTCTCTCTCTTTCTCTCTCTCTCTCTCTCTCTCTCTCTCTCTCCTTTAGAGAACATTTTAGAGAAGAGAAACAGGTCCACTCCTGCCTCAAATCCACAGGTGTTTCTGTCCATCCTTCTACTGTGAGAAGACAATTCAGTGTTATGGGTCTGAAAGGATGTGTAGCTGCCAAGAAGCTGTTACTGAGAAAAGACATTAGACAAAGAAAAAAAAATCCAATCAAATAGAGACTCTGCTGGAGTTCTCAGAATAATGGACTGACCACCCCAGAGTCCAGATCTCAACATTGCTGAATGTGTAAATGTTTACTTGGTTTTTGAGAAGCAGAAAATGCTAAACCAACTTCTAAGACTGAACTTTGGAGATGTGGAAAACTATCCCTGCAGATTTCTTAAAAGAACTGAAAGTAAGGCCCCTGGAAGGAATGGAAGCTGTGAACACACTAAATACTGAAAAATTTGATATGAAGTTCCTAAGACATCTGGGTCATTTTATTTTAAATAGATCCCTTAAATAGAAGCCTTTTTTTATTTTATTTTTGTAAATTTGAGCACAGCAGCTGCCCTTTATATTGTGTGAAAATTTCTTGATGAATGAACCAATAGAAATGCTCCAAAATTGCTTAGAATAAAATGTATTTATCTTAACTTACATTAAAAGCAATAAACATCTCTCTCCCTCTCTCACTGACTCTCACTTTCTCTTTGTTCCTTTTTCTCTCTCACACATTTATTCACTGCTGCACATCTGCCTTTTTCACAGCCTCTGTCAGAGCTGGTCAGCCAGTATCTTTACACCCATTGCTTATCTCTCTTGATCTTTCTTCAGGATCGCAGTTAATGTTCTCCAAGTTTCTCTGCTTTTCCATGAGAACACATTTCCAGCAGGGGTGACTCCAGTTAAAAGTAATGAGTTCAGTCCACTCTTCTACAGTTATTTCAAGGATTTTATCTCCTCATTGTGCACAGCCCCTGATGTCAGTGGTATTTTACTGTAGTATATCTGTATTGTCCTGCTGATTTAATTGTCATGCTGCTTTAATAATAATCACTGTTTTTCTCCCTCTTCTACTTCAGATGCGTTTTAATAATCCGGATTATCACTTCTGTCTGTGGCAGGCTTTCAGTACATAGTTCAGACCACAGCTATTAGAGCGGCTGGCCAAAACTAATGGAAAGTACTTTCTCCTTGTCAAAGCACTATTTTGCCGCCACTCCACATTAAGTTTGGCCAAGGGATCTAAGCTGTAAGATACCGATCAGTTTAACAATAATGTTATTGGTTTGATCCTGGAATTCCGGCCATCAAGGTTATTTCTCTACTGACATGGGTTTGTTTTTCCTTGAGTACTGATCTGGGCCTTGAGGTGGCCAAACATTTATTTATTCATTAGGAAACTGTAGAGCTTGGGTGAGCTTTCCTCTTATATAATGCTGGATTTAGCTGATAAAACCAAACTGTCAACATTCCTGTTCAAATAACAGCGCAGAATCCCTAAAAAACGAACCACAGTCTAGAATATACAGCTACAGTGTATCAGGGTTCACTCTATCTACAAACTGAATGCAGGTGAGCAAGAAGCTTCGGCACTGAGATAAGGCTGACAGGAGGGAAATATGGACACTCTCTGAAATCCTGCCTTTCACCTGTGAAGAATTACTATCTAGTCATATTGGTATGTTACACAAGAAGCACTATGGCAGTATCTGTAGCAGTATTTTTCTGAGTGCCATTTGTGAAGCCAGAAATGTGCTTAAAAACTAAGCAATTTCTTAGAGTTATGTTTCAGAGACTGGCCTCTAGCTTCTACCCAAAGAAATGGAACCTCCCCCTGCTCCTCCTCTGCTTTCTGTGCACCAGGCACCAGCAGGAACGGGAACAGGAAAGTTAGGGATCTTTCTGTTTCTCAAAGAGGCACTCTAGTCTAAATGAAACATTAAACCATCACTACAGCTGTTGTATACATGCTCACATACTCACCTCTTACAGTAGTGCTACACTCTTAAAAAAGATGGTTCTTTAGTAAGGAAAATGGATCTATACAGAACCATGAACACTCAATGAGCCCTTTGCATGGTTAAAGGGTTCTTTGCATTGTGATAGAGAATGTGCTGCAGATGGTTCTATAACACACTAAAAAGGGTTCTTCTATTATCACAATATCAAGCTTGTAAAAATAGAAGAACCCTTTTTGGTGCTATATAGGACTATTTTTAAAAAGGCTCTATATAGAACCATCTGCAGCACATTCTCCATCAATTTGAAGAACCATTTCACCATGCAGTGTTCTTTGAATGTTCATGGTTCTATATAGAAGCATTTTCTTTACTCTTTTTTAAGAGAACAATACTCCCTAGAGTGGAATTTTCCAATTTAAAGACTAGTCCAGGGGTCCGCAACGTACAACTTTTTGGCTGTCCTGTTGTGGCTCCACAGCAGCATTAATTTTTTTTAGGTAAAATTAAAATAATCCTGCTTTGCCATAAAATAAAGCTCTGCTGATCATTCTGACAGTTTTAAAAATAAATAACTCTGGAGTTAGTGAAGCCTACACCTCCTAATTCACCCTTTAACCCTGAAGGTTGGCGCGCAGACTGCAGGTCACCATAGCAGCACAGACAACAGTCTCACCTAGCTAGTAGCTAAAGAAAAGGCAAAGAGAGAGAATTGAGACGAACATCGATAATTTAAAGACCTACGTTCTTATTACATTTATAATCACTCCAGCTGGTTTCCTGATACAGTTAATCTGCAACAAGAAACTCTCAAAAACTAAAATGTTGCAAAGCTGAAGTCAGCTTCTCTTTCAGATTTTCCTGTTCCACCGTTGTGGACATTTTATTGTTTGAGAGTCTCTCGTGGGCTGGAGGTTAGGGAACCAGCCTTGTGACCGGAAGGTCGCTGGTTCGATCCCTTCAGCTGAAAGTATGTGACTGAAGTGCCCTTGAGCAAGGCACCTAACCCCCAATTGCTCCCCGGGCGCTGTGGATAGGGCTGCCCACCACTCCGGGCAAGTGTGCTCACTACCCCCTAGTGTGTGTGTGCATGTATGTGGGTGTTTCACTGCACAGATGGGTTAAATGGGGAGGTCTAATTCCTCTGTGTGCAAACACAGTAGGCTAATGGTTCTAAATTAAATTCAATAATGACTGAATTCAATAAATAGTGCAGCAGTTACATTCTTTTGCCTCAGGCACCATTTAAGGTGGAAAGAGAAAATTCGAACAAGAAACTGGCGAATGAGAAGAGACTTCAGCCCCGTAAAAAGTCAAACATTGAGAGACATTTTACAAGCAACTATTCCACTTTTGCGACAATGTTTTCTGCCGGAAATGTGAGAATAGCGGCTATAGCTGAGCTAAAGCTTAAAGCAGAGCAAAGTAAATCTGCGTTTTCTTTTAATGTTATATTTTTTAGCCTATATTAGGACATCAGCACATACTGAGACATATTTACAGCTACGTTGGTAAAATGGACATAAAATGTTGTGGCTCCCAAGCTGGTTTGATTCTTGCTGAAAGGACAAAATAGCTCTTCTTAACATTTGGGTTGCCAACCCCTGGACTAGGAAAATCCCCTTCTGATGACATATCTTGAAGGTGGGAGGAACTTTTGAAAAGGGCATTGAGCAGATATTTGAAGGTAAACTCTTTGAGATGTTTCTTCCTGCTAGCTGGCTAATATGGAAGAAAACCAAGTAGGTAACATAGGAAGCTAAATATAGCATCTGTATTCATTAGCCTACGTCAGTGGATATGCTAGCAGTCAGGGTTTCTTTATCACTGTGGGAGAGATTCTCAGTAGTTATAT